GGAAAACAGTGAAAGATGACCTAAGTCCCTGGGCGCCTGCACCTGCATGGGAGAACTGGAAGAAGCTCCTGTCCCCTGGCTTAGGGTTGGCCCTGCTCCAGCCGTTGCAGCCATTTGGGGAGTGAACTAGTGGAAGGAAGGCCTTTTTGTTTGTCTCTCCCTCTCTGTGTTACTCTCTCAAATAAACCAAATCTTAAAAAAGAGAGAATAATTTGTATTATAGAGAAGGAATGGTTGGTTGAGGAGGCATTGGTCTCATCTGTTTACTTGCAAGTCTATTGAACACAGCAATTAATTGTTCTTTTGCTGTGTGGCTGTTTAACACTCTTAAAATAAGAAAGATTTTTTAAGATGTTAACTTACAGGTGTATTTTAGAAATTCCTGATTAAATAGCATGGTGACTTACTTGTTTAGAAATAGCAGTAATTATCAATTTTATGTGGTGTGATGTTTCATAGTTCAATATAAGATGTCCAAAATTACTGTTGTGATAGTGTAATAAAGATAGGCCTGGTATAGGCAATGAAAATGAGGTGATCTGTAATATGAATTACTGCAAAAGTGAAACAAAATCTTCCTTTCCTAATCTGTTCTATAATAGATAACCATAGTATTATAACTTTATTAAAAACACATTGAAAAATTGATAACTAAGTATAATCAAATTCTCAGAAATTAGTTCTATATATTCTATATTCAAAGAGCAGTGTACAGAGACGCAAAATGCTGTATGAACATGTCAAATTTTGAAGTGAAGGATTTTTTTTTCTTATAAAAAGGCATTTATGTAGCTTTTAATACAAAATGACTCAGAGAAACACAGGAAGAAAATATCACACATGCCAGTTACTGAATTAAGACAAAACAAAACCCAATTAACAAATTTCAATCACATTCCCTGTCTTCAGCCTGGATTAGATAACAGGAAACTACAAAACCAATCAATATTTGTCCCTTTGAAGAATCTTATTTAAAAAGTAAAAATAAAAAGTGAAAAACAAAAAATCCAGTCCCTGAAATCTGCTAGGTGGTTTTGGAGGCCACTAGGAGCTTCCTCAAGCATTCTGGTGACATGAGATACAAGGGGTTGCTGGAGGATGGCCACTGCTCCCCCTGTTTCTTGCTAGTAATGGTCACCTGAGGGCAGACGCCAGCCTGGGCACAATGTGGTGCCACTTATGTAGAAAGAGGTCTCAAGGACAAGCAGCCTTGGTGTCTTCCACTCTGCATCTTCACCGGATCTCACTTATGTGCAGTCTCATGTACTGGGTGCTGAGAGAATGATGGGCTTCATTGAGGACCAGTGTGGCCAGGAAGCTTGTACAATATTCTCCTGCTTGTGATATCCCACACATACACAAACCTATCCGCTGAGCCAGCTGCTATTTGTTTCCATCAGGTGACCAAGAATATCTCAGAAAATTCTTTTCAAAGTTGGGCACATTTCTTTGAACTATCTTCAAATACCTCTCTTTGGGGACAAAAGGCCGGACATCCCAGACCCACACTGTACTGTCCATTGCATTGGACAAGAGATAAGAGCCTTCATAACGTAAACTCAGCACAGCCACTGAATCTGCATGGTCTCTAATGGTGTAGGTTAGCTTGTTTTGGCGTAGGTCCCAGACCTTGATATTGTTGTCTATTCTACCAGAAATAATCTGATTACTTGTTTCATTAAAGATCACAGGTAACACCTGGTATGTGTTCTGAAATGTCTGGATGGCTGCTTTCTTCTGGATATCCCAAAGCTTAACTGTACCTTCGTCACTCCTCGTACAGACAAGCTGGGGGCCTCTCCTGGCTGTATAACAGGAATTCCCAAAGGAAGTGTGTCCTTTCAGCCTTTTAACTCTCCTGTTTCACTGCCAGTTTTATCTGTGGATGCTGAGAGGAGTGTACTGCCATCTGTGTTATAATGCAGCTCCATCACTGCTCCCCTGTGTCCCTTCAGTGTGGCATAGGTATCACAGTCACCATAGACATTCCACAACAATATCAATTGGTCAAATCCTGTGGTTGATAGGGTTGATCCACTGGGGTGAATCTTGCTGCAGTACACTTCTCCTTCCTGTCCTGAGAGCAGCATGAATGGGGCTTGAAGGGAGGAACACCTCAGAGGCCCAGCTTGCAGCAAAGCTCCTGGTGTTGCTTGCCCGACCCTACTGCTCCCAACAGCAACTCATGGCGCTGCCACTTGACTGGGACCAGTGGCAACTCTGGGCCTTTTTGTTTCTGCTGTTCTTTCATGGTGGCAGCCACTTTTCGAGTGAATAATTTTTTTCTTCAGAAAAGCTACTCTTTTCATTCTGTTTCTATGAGGTTTTATTTTTTAATTTTTAAAGATTTATTCACTTGAAAGGCAGAGTTACAGAGAGAGAATGAGAAAGGGGTAGAGTCTGAAGCCAGCATCCTGGAAGTCATTCAGGTCTCCCATGTGGATGGCAGGGGCTCAAGTACTTGGGCCATTTTCTGTTGCTTTCCCAGACCCATTAGCAGGGAGATGGATTGGAAGTGGAGTCCCTAGGATTTGAACTGGCACTCATGGATTGCTGGCATTACAGGTAGTGGCTTAACCCACTGTGCCACAGTGGTGGCCCCTCAAAGACCTTTTTGTTTTGCTCACATAATGTATTCTGTCGCTCCCCCTCTTCGCGGAGGAACGACACAGGACCCTGCGCTGTTCTTTTGTCTGCTCGGCCCTCCCTGGGTTTGCTGCTGGTTCTTCCCGGGTTGGCTACCGTCCCTTCCACCTCTGTGGAAGGGCGGTTCTCCCTGCCACTTTCCCCACTTCCGCAGGGGAGCGGCACACCGCCAGCCGGCTCTCTCGGGGGCTGCACAGGTGTTCCTCTTAGATGTTCCTCGTGCATGTTGTCTCTCTCCTCCTTTATAGTCCTCTTCCGCCAATCTCAACTCTGCTACCCACACGCCGAGTACGCTGCTCTCCTCCAATCAGGAGCAGGATCAGCTCCTGCAGGTCATCACTCAAGTTGGCGAGAAGCAACTGCGTAGAAGCTGTTTCCTCCTCTCCCAGTGCCATATTGTGGGAGAGCAGATGCATAGAATAAGTCTTAATTCGAGTAACAGTCTAGTCCGAGTTGCTCCCCACAGTATTCCTTTCTTTCAAGCTTTTTAATTATCAACTTATTCGGCATACTTTGCATTTTGCTTCCATATTGACTGTTAATAAGTTATTTAATTCAGGGCTACTTTGCATCTTGTTGAGACTTAGATTAGGAGATAACAAAAAGAATGGTTTCTGTCATCTAAACACTTATAATTTGTTATGGGTATTACAGCATTTATTTTATAAAGGGAAATTTAGGGGGCCAGTGCCATGGCTCACTTGGCTAATCCTCTGCCTGTGGCGCCGGCATCCCAGTGGGCGCCGGGTTCTAGTCCCGGTTGCTCCTCTTCCACTCCAGCTCTCTGCTGTGGCCCAGGAGGGCAGTGGAGGATGGCCCAAGTGCCTGGGCCCCTGTACCCGCATGGGAGACCAGGAAGAAGCACCTGGCTCCCGGCTTTGGATCGGTGCAGTGCCGGCCGTAGCGGCCATTTGGGGAGTGAACCAATGGAAGGACGACCTTTCTCTCCGTCTCTCTCTCACTGTCTATAACTCTACCTGTCAAATAAAGAAAAAAAAGGGAAATTTATAAAGAGCTATTTTGAGACAAAGGAACCAGTTGTTTTAGTTTAACAGAGCCCCCATTAGTCTAAGCTCAGATTAAATCAAACAAAACTCCTTAAAGTCAGTGGAAATATGTGATAGTATTTGAGTCTCTCCTTGAAAAATAGGAGAGAATTGGTAAATGGAGATGAAGAAGAAAGGGTGCTTTTGGCTAAAAACCTATTATATATTTTTATTAAGTGTGAAGCAGTATTTTGGCAAACATTTCATATTCCATGAATACTTTGGAAAATTCTGACTTTATGAATCATGAATTACAATAAAATTCACAGCTACTTTTAAAAGAGATATGATACTTCTTTCATGCTGTGTATTCCATAACATCTCTCTCTTTCTCTCTTTTTAAAGATTTATTTATTTATATGAAAGGCAGAAATACAGAGAGGCAGAGAGAGAAAGAGAGAGAGAGAATCTTCCATCTGCTGGTTCACTCCCCAGATGGCCACAATGGCCAGAGCTATGCCAATCTGAAGATAGGAGCCAGGAGCTTCTTCTGGATCTCCCACGTAGGTGCAGGGGCCCAAGGACTTGGGCCATTTTCCCTTGCTTTTCTAGGCCGTTGCAGAGAGCTGAATAGGAAGTGGAACAGCTGGGACTCAAACGGACACTCCTACGGGATGCCAGCACTGAAGACAGCAGCTTTAACCGCTGTATCACAGTATTGTCCCCAATAATATAATTTAGTTGGTTAAAACTAAACTTACTCAGCAATTGAAGAACAAACCTTGTACTCTTTCAGGTATGTGAAAATATGTTTTTCTTTAAGACAAATCTGATTCCTGGTGTATAGGTTGCAGTTGACATCCTGCATGAAGGAGTATAGGTGAAGATATTAGTGGATATTGAAATGCAGCTCTTCTTCAGTCACCAAAAGCCTTTTTCTTAATTACTTTTCCTAGAGGCCAAAGGCACTGTATAGTTAGAGTAGTCTTTGCTTCTGGAAGTGATTATTTGCTTTATTCTTGTTATGTTGGGTTCAGCACTTAACTTCAAACACAGTATAGGCATCAATTAGGTACTCAGTAAATTATTTTGTTAGTGGTTCAGCACTTTACTTTGAGAATAGCATAGGCACAAATGTAGATACTTGTTACATCTTTAGAGTATTCTGAAGTCTAAAATTTTAAGATAGTTCATATGCTCCATGTGATTAAAATTGCTTTCCTATCTAATCTGTGTTTTTCTTTAATTCAAATTCCAAGTTTATATGGATAATTCTATTTGTTGTATTTTGCCAAATTGTTATTGCAGATAGACGAGATATTTTTAAAATTTCATTTGTATATTAAAATGTTTAAATTTTAATTTCAGGTATATTATATTTTTTTGCCCATACGACCTAGTTTCTCAGGGCTACTCATTCCTACCTGTTCAACTCCTGGCTGCGGGAATGAAGGAAGTGACCAGAACTTGGAAAATAGTAGGTGGAATCACACATGCTAATAGCTATTACAAAAATGGCTGGCTAGTCATGATAGTTATTGGATGGGCCAGAGGTAAGATTAACAATATGAATTCATAAGTATTATTATTATAACACAACTATTTGAACAGTTCTCTGATTAAGTTAATGGGGGGGTCACATGCTTTAATAACAGAATCTTTTCCTAAGTTAGAAACATTGTATCTATTGGCTAGAAAAGTTAATTCAAAACTAATACCCTCTCTAATGTGTGTCATCAGTAATTATTTTGAATAATCATATGATATGATTATTCATATCATATGATATCATATGATACATAATTTTTATAGTTAGATTGATGAAGAGCTCCAGAGCAAGAAAGATTCATAGTTAATTATGGTATAGTGTCACCATAAATAAAATGAGCTTACATAAGAAACTGTGTGGTCCATGGAAATAAAAAACATTATTCTGTCTTTTCTGTGTTTTTTCCCATTCTATATTTTTGGGTATAGTATATATGCGTGATTATGGGTTTGTGTTCATGTTGTGTCACTTGCCCTTTGTTGTTTTATATGAAGAATTGAATAAATTTCTTTAACTTCATATATTATATGGTTATATTAAACTAATCATATCAGGAAAGGAAATGCTAAAGCAGAGGATTATGTTTTTCAGTTCTGAAACAAACCTCTAGCTTTATCTCTAAACTTGAAGCCCAAATTTCAACCTTAAGTATGGTATAAGAGACAGTTGCCAAGCTGGTGAATGGGAAAATTAAAATTGTCTTAACATCCTAAATATACAAGGAAACTTTTTTCTCCTGCACAAAAATTATATTTTGGGAATTCTCAAGAAAATTTGCATAAACTTTCTTGTTTCTTTTTCTTTTCTTTTTTTTTTTAGGTGCAGGTGGTACCATTGTCACAAATTTTGAGCAGTTAATAAAAGGATATTGGAAGCCAGAAAGTGAGGAAGAATGGCTGAAGATGACCTAGTAAGTTGGTGTTCCAATAGGCAGCTTAACTGTTGCACCAAATGCCCATCCCACTGCAAGATTTTGAACAGAGGAAAAATACAATTTTTTTATTATGAAAGCTTCAAGAAATTTTGTGTGGAAAATATTTCAAGGCATATACTCAAAATAAGGAAAATTTCCCCTGAATATTGCTAATATTTATAGCATCACCAATCAAAGAAAGCCTCCTTTGTTCTAGTTCTGAACTACCTCATTCAGGCTTTAAGGTGTACTTTCCAGGATTATTCTAAACTTCAGTGTACTTTGTCATTCATGCAGCTTCTCAACCTTCATATTTAATTCATGGTGTCAGAGCATAGCACTAGCACAGCTCCAGAAACGAATGGATATTCACAAGGCTCAGACACCAGGGAGCAGGATGCATTGACAATTTGGGTCCCAGAGCTAAAGGTTACAGTGGCAACTTGGCTTCCTAGAAATAAGGCTTTTTTTAAAAAAAATATTTATTTATATATTTGAAAGGCAGAGTTGCAGAGGCAGAGAGAGAGAGAGAGAGAGAGAGAGAGAGAGAAAGGAGTTTTCCATCTACTGGTCCGCTCCCCAGATGGCTGAAACAACCGGAGTTGCGCCAATATGAGGCCAGGAGCCAGGAGCTTCTTCCAGGTCTCCAATGTGGGTGCAGGGTCCCAAGCGCCTAGGCCATCTTCTACTGCTTTCCCAGGCCATAGCAGAAAGCTGAATCTGAAAAGGAGCAGCCAGGACTAGAACCGATGCCCATATAGGATGCGGGAAGTGCAGGTGAAGGATTAACCTACTGCGCCACAGTGTTGCCCACCTTTTATTTTCAAGCTTGTTTTTGTTATTCAGGGCCCCCTACAATTCCATGTGAATTTAATTGGTATTTTCATTTCTGCAAACATTGTTGGAATTTTGACAAAGCTTGTGTTAAGTCTGTAGATTGCTTTGGGTAATATTGTCATCTTAACAATATTAAGTCTTCCAATATATGAAGATGGGATGTTTTTCCATTTATTTAGGTCTTTAATTTCTTTTAACAGTGTTTTATAGTTTTCAGTGTATAAGTCTACTTCCTTGGTTAAGTTCATCCCTAGGTATTTTAATTTTTTTAGATGTTACTGTAAGTAAAATTATTTTCTTAATTTTCTTTCAGATTGTTTATTGTTGACCAATTTAAAAAATGTCTAATTTTACCAAAAACAAAGGGCCCCATGCCTCAATTTCCCTCACAGTGGTACAAGGTCCGTATCCCATTTTGTAGACCCCAGGGAGACCAGAGAGGCCACCACTTCAAGTGAAGTGGCTCTAATATGAGAAAGTGGAGGCCAGAGACACTCCTGCTCTGAGTTTATTTCCGTAAGACTGGTGTTCATTAGACCATGGGCAGGCTAACTTGTTGGGGAGGGCTTCATCTCCGCCTGGAGAACCTTGCTATCAGTTCCAGGTCACTACAGTTAGACCTGTATATAATTTATGCATTATTTGATAAATACTTATTAGGAACTCTTAAAATATTTAAAAAAAAAAAGATTTATTTGTTTGGGAGAGAGAGTTACAGACAGACAGAGGGAGAGACAGACAGAAAGGTCTTCCATCTGCTGGTTTATTCCCCAAATGGCTGCAACTGCTGGAGCTGGGCTGATCCACAGCCAGGAGCCACGAGCTTTTTCCAGGTCTCCCATGCAGGTACAGGGGCCCAAGCACTTGGGCCATCTTCCACTGCTAACCTCGGCCATAAGCTGGATCTGCAGAGGAGAGCTGGGACTTGAACTGGCACCCGTATGGGATGCCAATGCTGCAGGCGGAGGCTTAACCTACCATTGTTGCTGTGGATTCGTTTCTGAGAGGAAGAGCGTGCTGGGGGCAAGAGGCGTGGAGTCACCACACAGACCCCGGGAGTCGGGTGAAAGCAGGCCTGAGGCAAGCAGCCTGCAGACTCGTTTATTTCAGGTGCTACAGCAGCTTATATAGCCAAGGCAGCCAATCCAGTCAAGGGGTGGTCTATGCCCTAACCAATCACACCCTGTTGCCAGGCAGTTTCCGAAGCCATCCAATCACAGCCTGTTGCCAGGCAGGCTCTGCTGTCAGGTGGTTTCCGAAACCATCCAATCACAGCCGGTTGCCAGGCAGTTTCTGTTGCCATCGGCCATCTTGGCATGGTCTTCTCATTCCACCACATTTCCCCCTTTTCGTTTATTTTTGAGCAACGGGAGGCATGATTCTTGGCCATACCATTGTTGACCCTGTTTCCATGTGGTCTCCGTACGCAGCTGTGCCTATCTTAGGTTGTCCCCCAGGGGATCTTACCTGTCATCTTCCCTCATACCATGCCACAGCATCAGCCCCCTTAAAATACCTTTAAAAATATTATGAATATATAATCAAAAATCGTTAGAGATTGCTGTTCTCAAATATGAGTGTTACCCAATCATATTGTTAAGTCCAAACCTATTTCCCAAATCTAACCCTGTTTTGAATTCAGTCATTAGCTTTTAATAATTAAATAACTTAGGTTTGATAAATGGCTTATAGGGGCCTTTACATTTGTTATATACTGCAATGTGGCATCCTAAGTGTTTATCTTTTTCTACTTGTAGGCATAGAGAGCTAGACACTGGTCTTTTACTGAAATATATGAGGGTACTTCAAAAAGTTTGTGAAGAATTGGAATTAAAGGTAAGTGTATCTTGGTACAAAAACTTTTTTGAAATCCATGCATAGTTTTTTCAGAATATTCATGGACTTCAAAATTTTTTGCACCAAAATAAGCTTATCTTTTAATTTCACTTTCCATGAACTTCTTTGAAGTAATCTTGTAGTTTAAATGTATGACAAATACATAACAAGAAAGTATGCTTCTTATTTAGTAATAGCATCTTATTATAGACTTCATAATTTTGTCATTAATATATTAAGATATAGAAATATTACTTTGCTATGTTGGAGTTAGCTAACTAATTTGCTAGAGCTGTCTCATACTGTGTTATGAGAACCAATTGTGTGTATTTTTTCTCCATACTGTACAACAGGCTGAAATAGTTGGTAGTGAGTTTACACCACAGAAGCAGGCAAGTGTTACAAATCAGGGCTTTCTTTTCCTAATGACACCTCCCTGGGAACTTATTTAACACTGTTAAATTTTTCAAGATTAATTCCAAATCATGCTGTGGAACATAAGACTTTCAAATTCTTAATGAAAAGTACTGTTTGATCAATTGTGTTTTAGAAATACTCTCTTTGTCAAAATTTTAAACTGTATTTCATGCTTTGAAGAAAGGTATTTAATTTTGTATATCTTAGCTCTTCCAAAACTTTCTGAGGGTGTTTATGAAGTTCATTTTTGTATTACATATAAAAACAGCCCATTAAGAGAGTGTTTTTCAGAACACGCTTTGAGAAAGAAATGAATCATGTTTATTACTCACTGACTTAAAATATGTTTAATTTTCAGCGCTTCTAAGGTAACACTCCTGGGGTCAGTCATCTTCACATTCCAGCACACCAAGCATCTGGCAATATCAAAGCATAATCTTATGTTCCTTTATACCATTTTTCTTGTGACCACAAAGGTAAGAGTTTAAAGTACCTATAATTCAGTATTACAAATTCTGTAGCACCATTCCCTTTTTTTTTTTTTTTTTTTAAAGATTTTATTTATTTGAGAGAGAGAGGTAGAGACAGAGAGAGAGGTCTTCTATCCGCTGGTTCACTCCCCAGTGGCACAATGGCTGGAGCTGCGCCAATCTGAAGCCAGGAGCCAGGAGCTTCTTCCGGTTCTCCCACGTGGGTCCAGGGGCCCAAGGACTTGTGTCATCTTCTGCTGCTATCCCAGGCCATAGCAGAGAGCTGGATCAGAAGTGGAACAGCCGGGACTGAAACTGGCACCCACATGGGATGCCGACGCTTCATGCCAGGGCTTTAACCTGCTGTGCCACAGCGCTGGCCCCACCACAATTCCCTTTTGATAGAATCCTGCTCATTGTGCAAATAAGAGGAATTTTTTTATTGATGTTAAGGAGTTTACTTAGTATATCTATAACTTTTTTAAAAAATTAAATTCTTTTAGTTCTAAAACGTTTTGATAAACATGCAATATTTGCACATTTTTTATGGGGTGCACTGAAATATTTCAACACTTATTTATATATCATAAACCAATCAAATCAGGCAACTAGTTTTTCCATTTATTTTTTTTCTTTCTGTTAGGAGCCTACTAGTTCTTCATTTCCAGTTCTTCATACAATAGACAATGCATTATTGTGAACTATGATCATCCCACTCTGCTGTGGAACACTGGGACTTGTTATTTCTGTCTCACTGTTTTGGTTTGTTATATGCAGCACCCTTCTAGGCCTACTCTTCCCATCCTTCATAATCTCTAGTAATCACTATTCTAAGTTCAAATCGACTATTTTTTTTTAAACTTCAACAAATAAGAAAGAAACATACGGTGTTTTGTCTCTCTATGTGTGGCTAATTTTACATACCACAGTGGTCTTGAATTCCAGACATTTTGCTGCAAATGTCAAGATTTCATCCTTTTTTATGTCTAAATAATACTCCATTTTCTTCATTTATCAGTTGATGGACATTTAGGTTGATTACATATCTTGCCTATTCTGAGTATTGCAGTAATAAACATCAGAGTGCAACTATCTCTTTCTTCTACTGATTTTCTTTCATTTGGATATATTCTCGGAAGTGGGTTATTTGATGAATCTGCTTTTGGTTTTTTTGAGGAACCTTTATACTATTTTCCATATGACTATACTAAATTGCATTCCCACCAGCAGCATATTAGGGTTTTCTTTTCTCTACATCCTTGCATTTGTTAGTTTTTATGTTTTTAATTTTTTTTGTAATAACCATTCTAACTAGAATGAGATGATACCTCATTGTAGTTTTGATTTACATTTCCCTGATGATTAGTGGTATTGAGCATTTTTTCATGTGTTTGCTGGCTATTTTTATTTCTTCTTTTGAAAAACACCTATTTAGGTCTGTTGCCCGTTTCTTAACTGGATTATTTGTTTTTTTCTTTGTTGAATGTTTTTGAGTTCCTTATATATTCTGGGTATTAATCCTTTGTTAGATGCACAATTAGCAAATATTTTCTCCCATTCTGTCAGCTGTCTCTTCACTCTGGCTTGTTTTCTTTGCTGTGCAGAAGCTTCTTTTTGTATATAACCCCACTGGTCTGTTTTTGCATTTGTTGCATGTACTTTTTGGGGTCTTAATCTAAAACACTGTTGCCTATACCAATGTCTTTTTTTAAAAGATTTATTTATTATTTGAAATGCAGAGTTACAGAGAGGCAGAGGCAGAGAGAGAGAGAGAGGTTGGTCTTTCATCTGCTGGTTCACCTCCCAAATGACTGCACCTGCCACAGCTGGACTGAACCAAAGCCAGAAGCCAGGAGGTTCTTCCGGGTTTCCCACGTGGGTGCAGAGGCCCAAGGATCTGGGCCATCTTCTACTGCTTTCCCAGGCCATAGCAGAGAGCTGGAGTGGAAGTGGAGCAGTCAGGTCTCGAATTGGCACCCATATGGGATGCCAGCACTGCAGAGAGCAGCTTTACCCGCTACACCACAGTGCCGGCCCCTATACCAATGTCTTGAAATGTTTCCCCTGTTTATTATAGTAGTTCCATATCTCACATTTAGATCTTCTGTGCATTTGAGTTGATTTTTGTATAAGGTGGGAGGTAGGGCGTGAAGTGTAATGCTCCTGCATATGGGTATCCTGTTTCCCCAGCACTATTTATTGAAGACACTTCCCTTTCTCCAGTACATGTGCCATCTTATTCCAGTCTTCCAGTTTTGAATTATGTATATTTTAATGGCTTATTTTTCATACTGTATAAATCACCCACTTGAAGTATGCAGTTGATTTTCTTTTTTTTTTTTTTTTTTTTGACAGGCAGAGTGGACAGTGAGAGAGAGACAGAGAGAAAGGTCTTCCTTTGCCGTTGGTTCACCCTCCAATGGCCTCCGCGGCCGGCGCGCTGCGGCCGGCGCACCGCGCTGATCCGATGGCAGGAGCCAGGAGCCAGGTGCTTTTCCTGGTCTCCCATGGGGTGCAGGGCCCAAGCACCTGGGCCATCCTCCACTGCACTCCCTGGCCACAGCAGAGAGCTGGCCTGGAAGAGGGGCAACCGGGACAGAATCCGGCGCCCCAACCGGGACTAGAACCCGGTGTGCCGGCGCCGCTAGGCGGAGGATTAGCCTAGTGAGCCGCGGCGCCGGCCCTTGATTTTCACTATATTCACAGAGTTGGGCAGTTACCACCACAATCATTGTTAGAACACTTTTACCACCCCAGAAAGAAATCTTTTACCTAATTTGCCCATTGTCTCTATTGTTTTATTCATTAATTCATTCATCTGATGGTGACATTTTAGTTGTTTTACTTTTTGGCTGATAGGAATAATGAGCTATGAACATTCGTGTACATGTTTTTGTGTAAATGTGCTTCATTTAGGATTAGAATTTTTAGATCTCGTGGTTATTCTGTGTTTAACCTTTGAGAGACTGACATTTCTCTAAATGTAAAGTAATGAAGCCATGTTTGAAAGTTCCAATTTCACCACTTCCTGACCAGTGCATGGTACCGTCTTTTCTTATAGCCATCCTAATGGTTATACAGGGGCACCTTATTGTAGTTTTATTTACATTTTCCTCATAAGTGATGGTGCTTAGCATCTTTTCATGTGCTTGTTGGCTATTTGCATATCTTCTCTGGAAAAATGTTCAGATTGTTGGTCTATTTTTAATTCTGTTATTTGTCTTTAATTTTGAGTTGTAAGATTCATATGTTCTGGGTACTAGGCCCTTATCAGATTTATGATTTGCAGATTTTTTTTCCCATGCTGTGAATTTTCTTTTTACTTGGTAATGTCCTCAGATAAACAAACTTTTAAAATTTTGATAAAGTCCAATATACCTATTTTTGACTTTTTTAAGTGTGCTTTTTGTGTCCTGTCGAAGAAACTATTGCCCAATCCAAGATCATGGAGATTTATCTCCGTTTTTTCTTTTTTCTTTTTTTTTTAGACTCAGTTGGAATGTACATTTCATGTTCTGGTTTTTAAGATTTATTTATTTACTTGAAAGATGAAGTTACAGAGGCAGAGAGAGAGAGGTCTTCTATCTGCTGATTCACTCTCCAATTGGCTGCAATGGCTGGATCTGGGCCAATCCGAAGCTAGGATCCTGGAGCTGGTTCCAGGTCTCCCACATGGGAGCAGGGACCCAAGGACTTGGGCCATCTTCTACTGCTTTCCCAGGCTATAGCATAGAGCTGGATTGGAAGTGGAGCCGCTGGGCCCAAAACTAATGCCTGGTTGTTATTCATTAGAAGTATATAGAAATGTAGTTGGTTGCTTTGTATTTTATCTAGAATCCTGTGGCCTTGCTAAACTTGTTTATTCGCTCCAGTAGTTGTGTATGTGTCTACGTGTAAATTCTTTAGGATTTTCTATATTAAAGATCATGTCATGCAAGTTGAGATAGTTTTACTTCCTTTCCTATCTTTCATTTCATTTTTTTACTCAGTTGCCATGGTTAGAACTTCTAATACATGGTCGGCGCCGCAGCTCACTAGGCTAATCCTCCGCCTGAGGCGCCGGCACCCCGGGTTCTAGTCCTGGTTGGGGCGCTGATTCAGTCACGGTTGCTTCTCTTCCACTCCAGCTCTCTGCTGTGGCCCGGGAAGGCAGTGGAGGATGGCCCAAGTGCTTGGGCCCTGCACCCGCATGGGAGACCAGGAGGAAGCACCTGGCTCCCGGCTTTGGATCGGTGCAGTGCGCTGGCCATAGTGGCCATTTGGGGGGTGAACCAACGGAAAAAGGAAGACCTTTCTTTCTGTCTCTCTCTCACTGTCTATAACTCTCTCTCTGTCTCTCTCTCACTGTCTATAACTCTTTCTCTGTCTAATTCTGCCTGTGGAAAAAAACAAAAGAACCTCTAATACAGTGTTGCTTAGAAATGGAGAGAGTGAACATACTTGTCTTGTTTCTGATATTAGGGAGAAAGCATTCATCCTTTTATGGTTAAGTAGGATGTTGGCTATGAGTATTATCATAGATACCCTATATCGGGTTAAGGAAGTTAGTTTCCTTCCACTCTTAGTTTGTTGCATGTTTATCATTAAGGAATATTGGGAGCCATATAATTTTTGAGTTTGTACATTAACCTTTAAAGAAAATGAATATGTTTTATGAGTTTAGAAGGAAAGAGGTGGTGTCAAACTTTTTAATCATAGGATTAGTTGTTTTAAAATTTATTTATTTGAAAGAGTTACAGAGAGAGAGGGAGACACACACACACACATAGATATCTCCATCTACTGATTTTTTTTGGTTTGTTTTAAAGATTTTTCTTTATTTATTTGAAAGAGTTACAGAGAAGGAAAGGAAGAAGAAGTAGTAGTAGAAGAAGAAGAAGAGAGAGAGAGAGAAGGAGGGAGGGAGGGAGGGAGGGAGGGAATGAATCTTCCATCTGCTGGTTCACTCCCCAAATGAATGCAACCATCAGGACTAGGCCAGACCAAAGCCAGGAGGCAGGAGCTTC